ATAAGTAGCACTTATAAAAGACACATGCATCATCCAGAGCTTTGGCTACTTCTCTGTGAAAGTCTCATAAACAAGTTAACAAATTCAAATAAAACATAAGGCATATCACCAGGCCCATGGACAATAATCTCATGTCAAAATAGATATGTCACTTCCCCAAAATGTTTACACTAAAAGAGACAAGGCAAGCTTATACAGAAATACTAGGCGGCTCCCAAGCACACAACAACAATGAAAAGAATGTGAATTGAAGAGACAGCAGCACAGTCTTCCAGCAGCACTCCTCACCAGGCTTCCCGGCCCTAAGCTCAACTCATCAGGTCAGATTTGGAAGGCAGTTTCTGGCCCTGATTACAGAATGTTCATATAATTATTGTTATGAGTTAAGTCATATCATGTCTCCTGTTCTTGAGCCTCCAGTACTTCATCTCTAAGATGTAATAACACCTATCAATTTACCCCTCAATAAACATTTTAAGAAAATAGTTGATGAAACCCTTTTAAGTCCTAGATTGTAAGATGAACCACACAATGATGAACACCCTTAATACTGTAAAAAGTGTCTCTAATAGAAGAAAGCCTACTGAGTTTTTCATCATACAGCACACTAATATGCTAACTTGACCACTACCACATAGCTAATCTGTTTATTACTGGCACTATATAATTTTTGTGAGAGATAATGTGTATAAGATACCAAAAGTTGTACTAGCTATAAAACTCTCATTGAATAAACAACTATATATTTTTATAATACTATGTCAACACAGTAATAGATACATGTGCACAACACTGAAGAGTAAAAAGGAAGTAAGTGGCAGTGAGGGGAAGGACATAGGGAGGATGACTTCTCAACTGGACAGACCACAGGAGTGCACAGGGTACCAAAGCACAAGGGCAAAGGGGTTTGGAAACAGAACAGTCACAACACAGAGTCTGGGTGGAGAGAGTCAGAATCAGCATTAGTATCTGTTCATCAATTACTGTACCCCAGGCACAAAGTTCAACTGGACAAAAATCCTGTTAGGTATTATAAACATTTGACAGACAAGGAAACCAAGGCCTATCCAGGCCAACCTGTCCAATGGTAGCTAAAGCACCACCATCACCAGCTAACTGAAGCATCTCTGATGCCAAAGGTAATACTTGTAGAAAAGAAGACAGAAGAGAACAGAGAAAGTTCTGTTACATGAAAGCCAGCCCTGGGCCCAGGGGGAGTACAGATCTACTCTCAATTGTTCCACAATGCAGCCTGCTTCCCTGCCTGACAGGATCAAGGGTAGCATCTCTCCATCTGTCACACATGACTACTGAAAGGGCCCCAAGTTGGGCAAGCAACTCCACTCCCTGCACAGTTATTGCTAGGGGGAGATGAACATGGTGTTCAGGGAGGCATAATTACCTAAACTTGGATCAATCTTAAACTTTCCATGGGTGCTACTGTCACTAATGTGTCAGCTTGCTCTTACAGCCTTCTTCCAGAGGCCCACAAGTGCTGAATAATCTTATAGTTGACATAATCTTACACTCACTTTCCAGTGAGTGAAATAAACTCTATCATCTGTTTTCCTCCCATTTCATCCTAGAGCTTGAAACTGCTGGGAGTTTCAACACCTCTCATGTCTGATATATAGTGTATATGCTATGCTAAATCATTAAGACCTACCCGTCTCTCCTGTCTCTGAAAAATCACGCCTTACTATGGGGTCAGCAAAGCCACTGAAGTCCCATACCAGGCCTGAGGTCTCTGCTGAATTCCTTAACACTGCCATGAATATGAACCATAGATGGCCCGAGGATCTGGGTACCATAAACTTCTGTGATGCCCAATTTTTTCAATAATTCCGGACTTTCATCTTCCAGTCCTGATAGGAAGACTTTGGCCAGTGTCAGCCAAGTGTGTCCCCTGGCTTGTATGACCCAGTCTGTCAGGAACTGATTTCCAAGTATTACCTCAGGTTAAGCAGACTTGGCTCAAGGATGGAGGAGCAGATAGACTTCTGTTTCTATGCTTTAGGGTACTCAGGCTGATCCCATCTGCTCCATGTCCCAGAGCCTCCCAAGCCAGGCTGTGAGAGGCTCTTTCATTTCTTATCACTAAGTCTTTCCCAACTGAAGCAGTTTAGAGACAGTGTATTCCTTAATTATCTGTTTCTTACACTAGGCCATTATGAAGGCTTCCATTTTCATGCTGAATTATGGGTCCCATGTCCCCTTCTGTACTAAAAAGTAAACAAGAGGAGTATCTTTTATCCCATCTCTCTTATTCTCTCCTTCCTCTCTGATCCTTCCCTTAGGTTCCAGTTTGGATCCCAGGAAGGACTCTCTACCACAGATTTTATTTGTACTCTTTCCCTTATGCCCCACTGCTGTTTGAAGAAGCTAGCCAGTGTCTCTACCCCATCATCCTTCCCCTGGATTTCCTGACAGATCATAAGCTAACATGCAGGGCAGCAGTACACGGTCTTTTTCTACTGCAATTCCTCTTGTATCCAGTTCTGGAGAGCTCTGTTTCAACTGCAAGGATCACAAAGCTGCTACCTTAGCCAGCTTATAATCCAGTTTCCTATGTGCTGTTCTGAAAGACTTCAATACATTCTCTAGTTCATTATCCATTTAACTGCTTCAACTAGCTGGCTTTGAGAATCTTGATTTCATTTGAACATCTAATGAAGTCTTCAAGAGAACCATGTAATTGAATTTATGATCACAAATTTTAAGACAAAAAATCTGAACATAGAAATTGTCTGTTTAAAACTACCTGGGGACAGGAATAGACTTAGTAAGTCCAGCAAGACTGGCTGACAGATGGAGAAAACAGACACACTAGCACTATTAAAGGCCAACTATTAGCTTTTCAGGTCATTATTATTATGATGATGATGACACTTCCATACTGGCTTGAACTCATTTGTGTAGCCCAGGATAGTCTTGAACTCATGGCAATCCTACTTCCATACTGGCTTGAACTCATTTGTGTAGCCCAGGATGGTCTTGAACTCATGGCAATCCTCCAGCCTCCGACGTCCTCCATGCTAGAACAGCTTAGCTCTCTTTTTACCAATTACTCATCTGAACTCAGATCCCACAGTATGTTTGGTTGGCCACCACCTGGCTGGGGGAGTGGCTAGGGCTGGCCTTAGCACTTCCCTCCCTCAGCACTTCCCTTCACCCTCGCCCACACAGAAGCCCCCCTGCTCTTTCCCTTCACTTGACTCTCTCAAAAGGACACAGGGGAGAGTCCACAAATTCTCATCCCAATATCAACACCACCACCCCTTCCTGGGAATGGCAAATACCAGCCTGAGAACAGATAAGCAGATTCAGCTTCCAGCCCCCATGTCTATGAGGCTGGGACTCTTTCTGAGTGATGGCCAGACACTCCCCAACACAGGAGGCTTATGGCCTAGGAAGAAGCAAAGAATCATACATCCTTAGAGAGAAATCAAGCCAATTAAGCGTTCTGAGACACCTGTGACCGGTTTGTAAAAATACTTAACCCTGACAGCACCATAAAGGCCAGAAGAACAACCTCCTCAACTGCGCGACCCCGCCCGCTGACCCTGTCTGCGCCCCAAACAGGTGGAATTATAGCTTTCCTCATCTGCCATATAATCCTGAAGCCTTGGAACCTGCTTGTATAAATCCCTTAAACCCCTAGACGCGGGATCGCAACTTTGCTCTGCGCAATTTGCGATTCAAACCTGGGTTTGAATTAAAAAGGCTCTTTTGTTTCACTGCATCAGATACGGCAGTTCTTTGAGATCTCTTGGAGACCCCGAGACCTGGGCATAAGAGGATTGTGAAAATCCTGGGGCTCACGGTCACTGCAGAGACCAGGACTTCCCCTTCCCCCACCACTTCCCGCACCGGGCAGCAGACTTAGATACCTTATGCGGAGGAAAGCACCCCAATCCCCGAACCCACAACCCGCGGCTGTGTCTCCTCACCGAGACTGAGACTCAGCGGACACCAAGGCTGCAAGTCTCTTCCAAGATCCTGAAGCGCCATCCGGACCGTGGACGTACCGGCTCACCGCCGCTCCCGCGCGCGCTCTGAGACGTTTCTGCGAACCAGTCACAACGTTCGGGATTTACAATCGACCAATCACCGCGCTGAGCCGTGTTCGTAACCCGAGCCAATGGGCTGGGTCGTCCACTGCGTGCGCAGAAATAGGCGGGGCAAAGACTGGAAGCTAAACAAGGCTGGCGGAGCTTTTTTTCTTAGTATTCCAGTAACTGTTGGAGTCAGGACATCACTAGTGTTTTTCTTACCGTCTTGTCTTTCCTACACGACAGGGAACCTAGAGGCCAGTGGAGACAGCATACTTCCTGTAATAGCAGTCACCTTTGCCCCTGCCGGTGACTCTGAGCGTGCATGTGAAAGGTACCTCATCCCGTCAGACAGCACGCAAACGTTGTTCGTATTCGAATGTGAAGAGTAGCGTGACGTTAATCGGACTAAGAAGTAAGAGAAATGCAATCAAAATATTTCAAGGACGCACTTGCAGTGCTAGAACTTTACCGCACATCTGGGCCCGGGTTCTACTGGAAAGAGGCCAAAGCCGCCATGTTAACTAGGAGAGACAAGGCGCCCTTTGGTACTGCACATGCGCAGATGAGTGCACCCCCTTGACGGCCTGGAAGGGGGGCGGGGAAGAAGTGCGCGTGCGCGTGGCATCTTCGCATCCGGGCCGGAGTTCTCCTGCTCCTTCCCCCGCCCGGCGCAGCCATAGCACTTCGGTGCGTTGCGCCACGGGAGTCTAAGCAGTTTAGTGTGTGCGGCTGGGCGCTGGACCCCACCCGGTGGGCGACGAGACGTGCGTGCTTGGCGCCTTTCCGGCCAGGGCCCTAGTCGCTGCTCCGCCAGGATCTGGGGAGGTACTGTGTCTGGCCTCTAGGTGCATCGCTGCTCTGGGCTCCGCAACCCGCAGCCGACCGCCTTCCTCCGCCCTGCCTCTCCCCAGGGGCTCAGGCCGTCGGCTATAGCCCACCCTCCAGCTTAGAGGAGCGGGGCTGCGGTGCGGCGTTCAGCTCGTTCCCGCAGCCGGCCCTCCGGCCTGCCTTCCCCGAAGGCAGCGCGCGCCTTGGAGGGAGGGAGCAGTCTGTGCCGACACCGGCGCGGCCAGACGGGGAGATGAGCTTCTTCGGCTTCGGGCAGAGCGTGGAGGTGGAAATCTTGCTGAATGATGCGGAGAGTAGGAAGCGAGCGGAGCACAAGACTGAGGACGGGAAGAAGGAGAAATATTTCCTCTTCTACGACGGGGAAACCGTCTCGGGGAAGGTGAGCCTATCTCTGAAGAACCCCAACAAACGACTAGAGCACCAGGGCATCAAGATCGAATTCATTGGGCAGATCGGTGAGTCTATTCCCTGGGATCTTCCCAAGCCCGGGACGTCAGCCCGTCCCTAGAATCGAGTGTGGTACGGGCTGGTGGCAGAGATTTTCAGTGTCCAGCTTCTGCGAGGCCTGCGACAGGTTCTTTTCAACAGCAATCTAAAGCCTGAGATTCACCCACGAGTCCCGCCCGTGGGCGACTCCCCCATGCATTCATTACCTTCTTCTGTGCCAAAAGTGACAGCGTGCTGCTGGGGAGGTGGGGACAGCCTAGATAGGGTAGGGAGCCCTCTGCTGTATGGTCGGATCCTCACCTGGTGCTTGGGTGTCCCCATTGTCTCTGCAGTATGCTTTCAGCTTTGCTTCTAGTACCCGGGATTTCATAGTGAGGTAGACAATATCCTGCAGGTGGGTTTGACAGCTACAGCTGTCAGATCCAATCCAAAGTTAAGCAGTGACCCCACCCACCTATCCATCATCCCTCCTCTCCCTTTAAAATACAGTGTGATAGACAAGGATCATAAATTCCATCTATCTCACCTCCATTTTGTACTACATTTCATGCGGATGTTTTGAATACCTTTAACCTGACTGCCTCTATTTCTCAAACTTCTTTATTACAATGCTAGTATTTAGTGGTCTGATTTTCTCCTTAAAGTCAAAGAAGTGATGCTGCTGCAAAGACTATATAATTAAATGATCAAAAATTTGCAGTGCTCAATAGTTATCTTCAAATATTGTTAATTTTAATAGAACTAGACAAGGGAAGGCAGTAAAACAAAATATTTGGGGAGCCAGATGATTTTGGTGGCACATGCCTTAAATTGCAGCACTTGGGAGACAGAGACAGGTAGATCTGTGAGTTGAAGGCCTGATTCACATAGTTGTAGGCCAGCCGGCATTACACAGTGAGACTCTGTTTCAAAATAAAACAAAACCCCACAAAGATTTGGGGAGCTGCCCGTCATGACTGGGTTGTCACCGATTCTAAGTATTTTAAGTCTTTGGTGTTATCAAAGTGCTTGGGTACTTCTAAAAGAAAATATTTGTACCATGAAGTCACCAGTAGGTTATACCTCGGAGATAATAAACATCAGTCAGAAAATCCCTACCCTCTACCCCTTACTGCACATACGGACACTGATTTTAACAACTTCCTTCGGAAAGCTTGCTAAATTCACATGCTAAGAGTTGAACATATAATCTGTATGCTCCCTTTTACAGAAGATAGGAGGGGACCCTGAGAATGGGAGTCCTGGTAGCTAGGTTTTTGCAACCCACTGTTTGGCCTTAAACATCTCCCTCTGGTATTTACAAGTAATGAAATCTAGCTGAAGACTGGGTGATCGTATAGGAGCTGTTTGGGTTTCGTTTTTAAAGCCAGAAGGTGAAAGAGCTGTTGCTGTACCAGAAAAGAGAGTGAAGGGTGAATTTCACACTGGTTCCTCTCCTGCTTGAACCAGCAGGACAGGAGCACTGTCAATTGATGTTTGAAGCCACATCACTGTTGTTGAGGGCCATTAGTTGTATCTTCAGTCTTTCCTGAACTAGAAACCAGGACATCCCTTCCTTGTCACACAGTAATTCCTTGAGGTATTGTTGTGTGTCTCCACAGAGGATAAAGTCACTCAGTAAAGAGTCACAGGTCAGATTATATAAATCCAAAGCATTTTATGTTAAGCATAATATATGAAATAGTCAGTACTTGCCTACTGAGAATAGGTATTTTAAGTAGGAGTTTTAAAGTTGCTACATCAGTTCTTTTGCTCTGTAATACTAGTAACAACAGGTATGTTTTAGTCTTTGCCTATACCATCAACTCCCTGATTGTGAATAACACAAAAAGTTCCTTGCTTCATTCAGGCAGTATGAAATGAACCATTCTAGAAGGAAAGCATGGTGTCCAGGTCTCTTTCTATTTAAATACAAGGTAGCTAAAGAGGCTGTTTGCTGTAATTGCCCCACCTGGTCTCTTGCCTAACTCCTTCATTCCAAGATTGTAATAACCTTACTGAATTTTCTTGAAACCTTTTATTGCTTCTTGGGGTAATTTCCCATGAGACCTTGGTACTCTGACCTGAGGGGGCCCTTAGCTTTGTCAGCTGTAAACTAAGTATATTAAAATCACTTGGTTATTATGATGAGATATGGGGGGGGGCTGTGTCTCATGTCTCAGATATAGGGTTCCTTTATAGAGTTAAGAGTAGTCTATGTAGTGATACTTCCACTTCACAAACTGAGTTACATCCACTGATTCAGGCTCCCCTCTAGGCTTCATATGTTCTTCCCAGCTAGCTTACCATGTGGACTTTCACACAGAAGATTTTTCAGCTATTTGCCTTAAAAAGCATTTACTTCTGTCACATGAGCTTTCACATGGCTAGCAGTGGGTGTGGTGCTTAAAGTATATAGTTCAAGTTCATTCACATTCCTTATCCATGGCTACATGGAAGAATAGTAATAGATCAAAACAGAATTATAAACAGTATATTTATTGTTTGGGCTTGAGATTTCTTCATTGAGGAGAAGACATCAGAAAAACCTTTCTAAGCAGACATGATGGCATATACTTATAATGCCAAGACTCCAAAGGTTAAGCCAGGAAGATCTGGAGTTCTGGGTCAGTCTGGCAACACAGCAAGACACTGTCTCAAAACAAAGAAATAAAAGAAAAGCCTTTCTAGGTATGTTGGTATAAAAAAAAAAATCTCTCCTCCCACTTTCGCTACCACTTTTTTCATTCAGCACAAAGTATTTTCCTTGAGCATCATGTTTCTTTATTATCTTTGTGACTTCCCCAAAGAATCAGGGCATGACATACTGTGTCATACATCTAAGACAGTTATTTCTAAGTGACTTCAGGGCACCAGAGCGAGGCCAGTGGGTAACTTTGTTGAAGTTGTGGTTCTGTGGTTTTCTCCTTGGTTGCATTCTTTGACTATGTATCAAGTAGGTGGGACTTCTGTTATATTAGAAGGTCAGGTTATATGGGTAACTGTAGCTATAGCCAAGAGAGTTATTTACCATCACTGAGTTCTGTCCTTCCTGATAAAACGGTTTGTTTGTTTGTTTGTTTGTTTGTTTGGGTTTTGGAGGAGTTGGAGCTATAGTCCCTTGTCCAACTCTATAACTTGCTCTGACAATCTCTTCCATATCCTTCTCATAATCTTCTGCAAGGATGAACTTCCAAGATGCAATTTTCATGTTTTCTATCCCTTAAAAGCTGTTTTGTTTGTTTGCTTTTTACCAGCTCCTTAGAGGGAGTATATTTATTTCCTTTCTGGAGCTTGTCCCAGCGTGCCTTTCCAGACTTGCCTCTCTTTAACTTCTTCACTGATGATAGCTTCTTCAGATATCTTCTTCTAGTCAGGCATGATGGTACACACCTGGCAGCCCACCTCTTGGAAGACTGAAGCATGAGGATCATGAGTTCCAGGTCAGCCTGGGCTACATAGTGAGACCTTTTTTTAAAAAAAAAAAAAATGAACTTAACAAGGACTGGGGGAGTGGCTCACCAGTTGAAAGCACTGGCTGTTCTTCCAGAGGTCTTGAGTTCAGTTCCCAGCACCCACATGGCAGGCAGCTTACAGCAGTTTATAACTTTAGTCCCATGGAATCTAACACTCTCGTCTGCTACAGAGACATACATGTAGACAAAACACCTAAATAAATAAATAAATAAATAAATAAATCTTTTTTGTTTTGTATTGCTTTGTCTTTTCTAGACAGGGTTTTTCTGTATAGCACTGGTTATCCTGGAACTTGCTCTGTAGATCAGGCTGGCCTTGAACTCACAGAGATCTATCTGCCTCTGCCTTCCTAGTGCTGGGAATAAAGTATTCGCCACCACCCCCCAGCTATAAATCTTTCTTTCTTTTTTTTAATGAAGTAAATAAATAATAAAATCCTCTTCTGCATGAAGCACTGGTTTCAAACCCCAGTACTGCCAAACAAACAAACAAGTAAACAAACCTCTGTTCCTTCTGAAGTTTTGGTGTCTTTCCCCTTGTATTTTAACTTATGTTTTCTTCTGAAAAGTATGACCTGCCTAATTTGTACTTTTTCTTCAAAAGTCTGCTAATCACTTCCTCTACTGTTCTTCTAAGTTCCAAGGTTACCTCTTTTCAAGCAGGTTGTGACTTCATTATTGTTGTATTTATTTTGTTTTTGTTTTTGTTTTCCAATTGTCTTATCTTCTTAACCCAAAGGCCAGAAACTGCCTCCATTCCATCACTAGTCCAGTGGTTAATCTCTAGTCTCAGTGGCTAGCACAGAGAAAGTGCTAATTAACCATTTGTCACCTGGTTGGTTCAGATCTAAGATTTTACAGAAATTATTTTCTGGATTTTCTTTTTTCTTTCTTTTTTTTTTTATCTTCTGTAGAATTCAGGAATAAACTAAGAAGCCACAGCTATGCTAGGCAAGTATTTCTCAACTCTGAACTACATCCCCAGTCCCTAGAATCACTTTAATGAAAGAAAGGGATAGTCTAGATCAATCAGCTAGGTCTCGTGCACATGCTTGTATAGGACACAGTAATGAACTAGCTAGGCATTCTCTTAGTCAAGGCCACTGAGAGCTTAGGTAGCATGTGACCATCATGCGTCTACTGGAACAGCATCTTCTTGAGGGATCTGGGATTCGAGAGCAATACATCTGATGTCAGCTTACTTGATTTTTCTTTTTCTTTTTTCTTTTTTTTCCCATCATATTCTTATTTCAAGTTGAGAATACCTCTTCCTGTTGAAAAGAGGAAAAGAGGGGTTGCCAGACCTGTGGCTCATGCAGCAAGCACTGCAGCAACCTTCCAGTTTGAATACTGTTTCAAGCGAGTAATCAGTTCCTAGATTTTAATATAGACCCTTGTTTTAGTGATCCTGTTTTTCAGCTGCTTTGCTGTCCTCTCTGTATCTAGCACTCTTCTCCTGATAGCATAGTCTCTATTGGAACAATGCCAATAAATGTGTGGTAAGGGAAGTCTTCTAGGTGAGACTGGTAGGATTGGAAAAATAAGAAGTATACAAGGAGCAGTGAGGGTGCTACTGCACAGTTAGAGAAGAGACCATTTTCCTGCTGAAATCCTTTGGGAAACACTGGTAAAAGGTGTAAGCCAGACTTGGGAACCTTGAAGGTTAATGGGGTTAGACAAACCAAATATAATTAGGTCAAACTTGCAGAGATGGGCAGACACAAATATCCTTATACCCGAGAGCCAAATAGATAGTTTTAAAAAATTGTTTCGTGAGCTTATCAATACCAGTAAGCCTGTCCTTTAAAAAGAAAACCCCAGAGACTTTATTTTAGCTCATTTACTCTTGAAATACCAAATGAAAAAGCATGCAGAGGTTAACTGACAGACTTACTAAGTTGTCAGCAGGGCTTAGATTTGCACAGAGCAGAAATATGCATGTACAACCCAGAGGTTGCATTATTCCTTTGGGTCTGCCAGGGGCAGGAGCTAGATGGAGCTATAGCAAGCAGGACTCTTGATCACATAATCTGCCAACAGAGGCTGGGAAAGTAAGATGAAAACGAGGCTCTTGCTGCTTTGTATCTCTCCCAGGCCTAATACAAAATCTAGACTAAACATGGCAGTAGCCCAGCAGCCGGTCCCAGGATGTTTGAAGGGCTCAGCCTGTAATGTCAAGTTGGCTCAATTTCCTTCTACAGTGGCAACCTCCCTTCTTGGCTGTTGGTGGCCGGTATTACCATGAAAACATCCTGAATGCAAAAATTACTTCCTCTTTTTGAGTGAGGGAGGAAGCTAATGACAGAAGTTACTTGAAGGGAAAAAAAAAAGGATGTAGTGAGAGATAGAGTTTCTTCCTCTCCCATGAAGGGCTGTGGTGCTTGGGATAGGAGAGGGGCTTTTTAATAGTCTCTTTAGGGCCTAAGTCTCTTGCTAGAGCCCTTGAATTTTCTGCCTTAATTTATTGAAGATGAAACCAACCTTTTTGACAAATAACAATGTCAAGCTACTATTTCTGCCACTTTGGACACAGTGTTTGCAGACACATTCCAAGCTGCCTATAACATTACAACTCAAAAAGGCCATTCCAAGCTAGATGTGATGGCATACACCTATATTCCTAGCAATAGAGAGGATGAACCAGGAGAATGACCCCAATTTAAAGCCAGTCTGGGCTATGTAGCAAGTCCCATCTTAACAAAATAAAACAAGAAAAGGCTCTTCTTGCTCTCCTCAGACCACAGTGTTCTCTCATGCAATTTCTTGTAGGCAATGATACTGATGTGTTACAGGAAGAAAGGCACTGGAGAGAATGTGATGCTGTACAGCCCGAGCCCCCTGCTGGGCCAGGCAGGGACTTCTGCACCACGGCTAAGATCCTCAAATACTGCAGTCCAAACACACTCTGAACCCTTTCTGTTTTTTTTTTTTTTTTTTTTTTTAATTTCTCATGTTGTTTTGGGGCTGTATGATCGTTGCCTTCCTTCCCTTTCCATTTTCTCCTTGATGCTGCAGCTTTTCCACTGGAAGTTTATGGAAATCAGGGCAATGTGCTTCTTATATGAATTCACTGGACCAAAATCCAGTGCCTGGGAGCTGAGATACAGGGTTCCCAAGTTAGGGGTTCATTTCTCACGTGAGCCAGCACCATCCATCAGGCTAGGTAGCAAGACTGGAAGATTTCTTGTCACTTACAATGGCCTGTTCTGTCCTGTCCTGTCCTGTCCTTCTCTTCATGTTCTAACTTTACTAGGGGCATAGTTAGTTACTGGGTTATTCACTTTCTCCTGCATAATTTGGAACTGTCATTTCCCTTCAGTGGATTTGTGGATCATCACTTACTACCTATCATGCCACCCACTGCTGATAGCACTTTATCTTTGTAAAAGGAAGTAGATTATTTGTAATAAAAGACTGATGGCCAGTCATGGTGGCACATGCTTTCCATACCTAGCACTCAAGGCAGTGACAGGTGGATCTCTGTGAGTTCAAGGCCAGCCTGGTCTACATGGCAAATTCCAGGACAGCTATTGCTACAGAGAGACACTGTATCAAAAAACACGACAAAGCCGGGCGGTGGTGGCGCACGCCTTTAATCCCAGCACTTGGGAGGCAGAGGCAGGCGGATTTCTGAGTTCGAGGCCAGCCTGGTCTACAGAGTGAGTTCCAGGACAGCCAGGGCTATACAGAGAAACCCTGTCTCGAAAAAAAAAAAAAAAAAAAACACGACAAAACAAAACATTGATTAAAATATAACTAGGTAGGACATAATCGGTGTATATTAACCATAGGATACACTGTAAATTTGTATGGAAATAGCATCACTAGAGTGAAATTATCTACACTATTACCATATTCATGAATTGGATAAATGCTTTTTGAGTTTTGTTTACCTTTTTGTTTAGTTTTGGAATGTCTATCTTTCTGTCTGCTTTTCTTTCTGTCTGTCTTTCTGTCTCCCTCTCCCCCTCCCTAATGCTGATGTCAAACACAGGGCCACCTCATGCAAGACAGACAAGTACTCAACCAGCAAACTCTACCTCCAGCTCAAGTTGAGTAAATCTTAAAACAGCCCACTCTGCTTCTAAACACCCCCAAGCTATGGAAAAGCTCTCATGGGATGAGCATGTCAGGGGAGGCGAATGGAGTGTTGTAGGGATTTTGTAGTCATGTTAAGATTAACAACTGAGATTGTTTCTCTTTGTCAGGAGGTGGTCTTCCCAGCAGGACAGGGCTGAAGACTGCAGTGGCTCTAGAAAGGCAGAATATCTGATTTCTTGAGCCCCAAAAAGTTTTGATCTCAGTGATGGCTTCAGATCTTACACTGTTGGAGTTGGATCCAGAGCAAGTACACCCCTGAGAAAGAGAAGTGATGATGCCCTAGAGATGCTGAGAATGAGGACCAGGCCTGAGAGACAGTGGGTTTGTCTTTCAAGCAGCTGCTTCGTTGTCCCCGTTCATCCCACTCCTATGGGGCATAGCCTAGCACAGTGCTTGAACTCAAGGATATCTGAGGGATGACACTTGAACTATCATGTGCTGTGTATCATCACAGGCAGAATTCACTGCTTCCATCTAGGGTCCAGGAAGCTGGAGCTCTGGGTTTCATCTTTAAAGGGCCTTAAGTCCAAAATAGAAAAAAATATATCAACTTAACAACTTAATTCTTGTATATATTGTTTTATATATACATATAAAATATTTTGTTACATATAATAACTCTTAAGTTGTAGAATACAAAAAGACATAAATAATATAAGTCTGGTGGTAACATGAGCTTATCATGAAGAAATACCAGCTGGGCATGGGCTCCCGTCATAGTTCCAGAATTTGAGAGGATAAGACAGAAGGATTGCTGTGAGTTTGAGGCTAGCCTGTGCTACACAGTGAATTTTGGGCCAAACAGACTGTGTGATTAGAAGGCCTGATCCGCTCATCTAGCAGGATTATTGTAAGAATGATATAATGAAGTAGCCATGCATATCCTGCAGAAGTCAGGAATGTTAGCAAGGTGCTCTGTTTTTTATGTTGATTCTTTTGACATATGCTGAAAAGCTGCTCACTGTTCTCAGAATTTTCTTAGCTTTATTGGTATATAGTCAGTGGATTGCTAACAGGAGTAATGGCCTGGAGTATCACATTGGCTTTTATTTATCAACTATTAAGGTTTCTTTATTTAATATATATGAGTATTTTGCCTACATGTATGCATGCATGCCTGGTGCCTATAGAGGTCAGACAAGGACACTGAGCCCCTGGAACTCTAGTTAAGATGGCTATGTGCTACCGTGGGTACTGAGAAATGAACCCAGGCCCTTGCAAGAGCAACAAATGCTCTTAACCAGTGAATTTTCTCTCCATCGTATGAGTTTTCTTTGTATCATGATTCTCCATATGAGAAGCAGAAGAGATGCCAGGGTATGATGGTGTATACCTACTATTCTAGTTACTTGAGACTGGGGCAGGAGAATTCTTATGCCCAAGAATGAGTGGCCAACCCAGGTAACATAGTAAGACCTTGTCTCAAACAAACAAAAAGAGGAAGGCATCTCTGGAAAGGCATGTATATGGGGAAGTCATTGGAGGGGATGGTGTTAGGGAAAAAGAAGAGACCGTGAAACAAGGCCACAAGTCTGGTTTGAGGCCTTCAGAAGAGAACAATGCCTGCCACCTGCAGTGCCCTCTCTAGGTTCACACAGGTTCATGTAAAAGGTTTTGTTCTCCCTCCAGAACTCTACTATGACCGTGGGAACCACCATGAGTTTGTGTCTTTGGTGAAGGACCTGGCTCGGCCAGGAGAAATCACCCAATCGCAGACCTTCGACTTTGAGTTCACCCACGTGGAAAAGCCGTATGAGTCCTACACAGGACAGAATGTGAAGCTACGGTAAGTGGCCCTGCTGTTCCTGTTGTGCCCCAGTCTTGTCTCACAGGGGCAGGCTCTGAAGCTCCGTGGCTTTTAAGGGGTCTCTGTGTGGCAACTAAGAAGGAAGAGTACTGCCAGCTGCAGTGTGCTAGTGCATGCTACCACTGGGCTCCCCTGGGGGAAAGCCTGCTGACTGTACTTCCCATGACTGTCCTCGAACCTGAATGCAACCTCCGTGATCTTTACCGTTACCATCACACAGAGTCCCTCAAGACCAAGGGCCTCACAGAGTGTAGGGAAGTGATAATGAAGCAAAGGGATTTTAGAATATATTTGTTTCTTAGGTAAGTCATTTCATTGTAAGTTCATATCATTTAAATTGTAGATATCTTTGACAACCATTTCTTAGAATTTTTGAAAATTCAGGAATTGGCTTTCATATGTGAGGTGGCTACAGACAGACACCCTAGCTTGGTTTCAGAGGTATTAACTCCTTCCCATCTAGTTCCCCCATAGAACATCAATGTCATTTTGGACTCTGTAACTTAAAGTGTTTTGAAAATGGATAAGTTTAGGATTCTAACTCTAGATCTGTCTCCTCCATCTTTTGGAAGAGATAAGAAAACAATGGTTTCATGCATAACAGAAGTCTTTAAAAATGTTACACAGCGTAACAGAGTCTTTAAGAATTGGACAGAGGGCCAGGCATTTGGCTTAGTGTGCATTTACCTAGCAGTATATCATTCGGGACCCATTCTAGGGTCCTAAACCAAAACGTTAATGTGTCTAGGAACACCTGAGATTATTTTTACTACCACCGTCTGGGAAACTGAGAAAGGAGAGAAGTGCCTGGGCCTCTTGTATTAGAAAATAAAAACCCACAGCAGCTCTGGACTCCTAGGTTATGTGACATCACCGAGATACAGCAGACTCTCCTGTCATCTGATTCCCTGATCCCAAGTGCTGATCTCACAAGCTCAACTTGTTTTCACCACTTATGGACCAGGGTGAGGACTGCAGTGAGACCAGCATTCCCCTTTCTTCTTCCTAGTTTCCCTCCACCCATCATAACTGTTTATAGACTCTTTTTGAGATATTTGCACTAGATTCCTACTAAAGACAGTGATTCATCCTGTCACTCTAGAGAAAGTACAAGCCAGGATTATCTATCACTGACTTAGCTTTGTATGGGATGTTTTGTTTTGGGTTTTTTTTTTTTTTTTTAAATCTCAACACAAGCTCTTGTTATGTACTGTAGGCTGACCTCAAACTCTCAGTCCCCCTGCCTCAACCTCCTGAGTGCCTGAATTACAGGTGTCTGTCACTGGAGTGATCAGTAACAACACCCCCTTCCTCCCCCCCCCCCCAAGTTCTTAGCACAAAGGAGATTTATTTGCCTCAGAGGGTCAAATGACAGGGAAAACAAGAGAAAGATAGGAGACAGAGGAGGAGGGAGAAGACAAAGGGAACAAGGGAGAAGGTCAGGGGTATTTGTCCCAAGGGACAGAGGACTGCCTCTGGATAGAGAAGAGACAGAAGTGGCCCATAGGCAAATGGCAATTTATAAAAGTACAAGATGAAATCCATGTTAGGTTGAAGTGTTTGATTTTATTTGGGCATGTTAAATAAGGAAGCCAAAGGGAGCTTTTGAATGTTGGACTTTAATACTTTGGTATGTGGACCTTGGTGGTCAGCCTCAGAGGAGGAAGTAGCCAAATAAGAGAATTGACTTTGGTGGCTAGCTTTAGGAATGTAATCCAGCCCGGCGGTGGTGGCGCACGCCTTTAATCCCAGCACTTGGGAGGCAGAGGCCGGTAGATTTCTGAGTTCGAGGCCAGCCTGGTCTACAGAGTGAGTTCCAGGACAGCCAGGGCTATACAGAGAAACCCTGTCTTGAAAAAACCAAAAAAAAAAAAAAAAAAAAACTGAGTAAATAAATAGGCAGAGGGCTCAAAGTATAGCTCAGTGTGGAGCAGCATATGCACAGACTTGACGAATTAATATGCAAGGCACTGGCTCAGTCCCCAACGACACACACACAGAATTAAACAGAATCACTGCGATCCAGTAGTTCACTTCAGTAGTAGATCCAAAATAACTGGACACTGAGTCTGGAGCAGAGAGTCTGACACCTGTGTCTATGCCTTGCAACAGAGACAGTCGATCTCTGGCTTCCAGGCCAGGCAGGGCTAATAGTGAGACCCTATCCAAAAAAAAAAAAAAGAAAAAAAGAAAAAGAAAAGCTACATTCAGTTAGACATGGTGATTTATGCATTTGGGAAACAGAGGCAGATGGATCACTTATGTTTGAGGCCAGCCTGGTCTTACAGGCCACTCAGAGCTATATAGTGAAACCTTGTCTCAAAAAACCCCCACAACAACAAAACTGTTCAGTCAGTGGCATACTAGAGGATCAGGAGTTGTCAGTCCTTTCTTCATCCCCTCTCAGTTGTGTGGAGGAAGTGAGATGGATCTGAGATCTGAGCAGTTAGAAAGGGTTAGGGACAAACACCTTACTGTGTAGTTTTGACGGAAGTTACCGGGGTTAATAAAAAGGACTGCCTGGAGCAGTGAGTGCCCCACTGAGCTGGCAGCCTGCATGTGTAGTTGATGTGGCTTACTAGCATGTCTTTGTTAGCTTTCCAGTGATGCTTGACTAGGCACTTGGGTTATCAGAGGATGACTCAGAAGAAACGATAACTAAGGGGATTCGCCTTCTCTCAAGGGTGTCTGCAAAGTATTATACCCAGGGCATTGGGGTGCTGGAAAAGGCAGTGCTGACTGGCTGTTAAACCTTTAGGGTTCACTTCCATATCTTCTTTCAAGCCTGTGCCCTACTCTGCAGCTGCCTCCTCTGGTGAAATGAGAGGTTCTTTTGCTACTTTGTTGTGTTATGTGTAGATTTTTTTCTTGAACTCACTTTTGTACTCAAAGACTTGAATCACAGTTTTTGAATTACTGTTTCCCTGTTTTGATTTTTTTTGTTTGTTTATCTCCCTCCAGATTGTGAGTTTCTGTTAGCTACGAACTTAGTCAGGGTTTTCATTGCTGGGAAGAGACAGCATGACCCAGGCAACTCTTATAAAGGATAACATTTAATTTGGGGCTGGCTAACAGGTTCAGAGGTTTAGTCCATTATCATCATGGTGGGAAGCATGGCAGTGTCCAGGCAGACATGGTGCTAGAGAAGCTGAGAGCTCTACATTTTCATTCAAAGGAAGCCAGGAGCAGAGGCTTCAGCACTGGATGGAGCTTCAGAGCCCACTCACACAGTGATACACTTCCTCCAACAAGGCCACACCTCCTAATACACTTTCTATGGGCCAAGATATTCAAAGTACCACAGTTTCCCTTCTGATCAGGCTAAGCTAAGAAAGACTACTGAAATGAGTATGTGGCTTGATTTCTCCATTTACTATTCCTCACTTGTATTGATCAGATATTGTTTAGTGGAGAGGCATGGAAGTGTATGGCCAGTTCTCTGTGCCCAAATAGCCAGGAGTTAGATAATAAACAAACTCTCCACATAGATGGTTCATAGTGATAGGGACATAAAAACCATGCTGTTGGAGTAGAAAGTAAAGAAATCACTGTTACTAAGGTTCTTAGTTCATAGTCATAAGCTCCCAAAAGGATTTTGAAGGAAGGCTTTTTTTTTTTTTTTTTTTTTTTGGCTTTTGGTTTTTCGAGACAGGGTTTCTCTGTGTAGTTCTGGCTGTCCTGGAACTCACTCCATAGACCAGGCTGGCCTCGAACTCAGAAATCCACCTGCCTCTGCCTCCCAAGTGCTGGGATTAAAGGCGTGCACCACCACTGCCTGGTTGAAGGAAGGCTTTGACTTGCCTAAAATTGTAGTTGCAGAAGTCTGTACATAGCCGGGCGGTGGTGGTGCACACCTTTAATCTCAGCACTTGGGAGGCAGAGGCAGGTGGATTTCTGAGTTCGAGGCCAGCCTGGTCTATGGAGTGAGTTCCAGGACAGCCAGAACTACATAGAAACCCTGTCTCGAAAAACCAGAAAAAGAAAAAAAAGAAGTCTGTACGTATATATATTTTTTTTTTTCTAAGAAAAGGGCTCCATAAATTCTCAAAGGGATATAAAACCCCAAAGGGCTAAACATTACTTCCTGTAGGTTTCTGTGAGGTGGGCTACTTTGGTGTCTCATTTCTGCAGCATCTAGAGACTGGAAGTATTCATGTAGGATGACTGCATCTCTTACAGCTATTTCCTTCGAGCCACCATCAGCCGCCGCCTCAATGATGTTGTCAAAGAGATGGACATTGTAGTTCACACACTTAGCACATACCCCGAGCTGAACTCATCCATCAAGATGGAAGTTGGGATTGAGGACTGCCTGCACATTGAATTTGAGTATAACAAATCCAAGTAAGTTATCTTGGGCCCCAAGCTTGTGTGATAGTTATTTATGGAGGGTAAGAGAGATCTTGAATGTCTACTGACATCCTCATGGTAACGTGTTGGTGGAGGAGACCATAAAAATACTACACTAGATATTAGGCTAGTTATAGATAGATGAGCCAGGAAATAGAAACTTTATAGGTCAGCATATTAAATTATTTATCAGATCTGTAAATATTAAGATGCCTTTCAAAGTCAAGCTAAAGTAGCTTTTAGGTTGTTTGTTTTGGAGCTAGATAAAGCTACTTCCTTCCATAGCTGAGAACAACCATGGAACACAATGCCACTATCATTTTTTTTTCCCTCCTTGTCTTAGAAATCAAAGTGAGGAAACCATGCACCGGCAATGGCCTGCTTCCTTCCTGAACCAAAATGAGTTACAGCACAGAATACCTGATACACTTTTGTAAAGGTCTTAAAATAGCTTTACCTGGCAAGTTAGAAAGCTGTGTTTTAATTCTTGTTTACTGTTAGAGCATCAAAAGTTTTGTTTGTAAGGTGCAGAACTTTCTGATAGCCTTACGTCTTCCTTTTTAATATTATCTGTTCCTGAAAGTATTTGGAGATCAATCCAAAACTGGAAGCATCATCTCCTCAGTCTTCCATTACTATACTGGCCTTCTCCAGGCTGCCAACCACAAGCTAGGCAGTAAGGAGAGCCAGGTCATCTACTAAGGGCTTAGGAACAAGAGAAAGACTCAACTATGCAGACCAGCCTGGCCTCAAACTTGTGATCCTATTCCTACCTCAAAAGTGCTGGGATTGCAGGCATGTGCTACCAGGTCTGACTGGGACAGTTTTTAAACCAGGAGCATAACTTGAGGCTAAGAACAGTTGTGAAACAAAGTGACATGCTACTGTCTTCCTGGCTTACATCCTAGTTGAGGCCTCCGTAAAATGGCCATTATGACCTAGAGCCAGTCTTGCTTGACCTAGCCTACCTGTTGGATAGGGAATAAGTGCTAGGAAGGAGTCCCGTTCCCCCCTCCCCCCGCCCCCGCAGTCTTCTTACTCAGCCTGCTCCTGTTCGCCAACCTTCTGATGAAGGCAGTCCCTAGCAGCAGTGATGTCTGTAAGAGCCTGAAGCAGCTATGAGTCAGTAGTTTTCTGAAATAAGAAAAAGAAAAGAAAAAAAAAAAGGTGTTGTTTTAGAGTCAGTTACATGCAGGCTATACCATAAAGGAACATGAAACATGTTTCTCATATGGGTGTGCTCCTGTGTAAGGTTGCATTATTGTAGATGAATGCTTTATTAGTATAGAAAACCTTAGCATCCATGCATGGTCTATAAATATCCCCAAGAAAGGCTGCTGGTGGCCCCCTGCAATGTCTGCATGTGTGGAATCACCTACTCAAAGTCTGCAGCATTTCCTGTGTACTGTACGCAACAGTGTTGGAGCTGTGGGTAGCAAGAGCCTGAAAACTAGGAATTGCCTATTTGAACCCTCTCTCATTCAGTTGAATGACTGAGTCTTCCAACTTCTTTTTTCCACTTGCCAAGACAGGAGGCCCAATTCTGAAGTCCCTGCTAGGGATCTCGTGCTAAGTCCTAGCTTCAGGCTTGATGAGTGCGCTCTCTTTCAGGCACACCTGATACAGGGCTGTGTATACATAGACTAGCAGCACCATTGGCGAGCCCACAGAGAAGGACTTAGAAAGGGTTAGAAAGTGTTATGCAACACTTCGCTAAATTCCTAGTAGTTAAGAAGCACAAGTCTTGCTAGCAGAGCCCAGAGAGCAGGCAGCCAGAGAGAAGGAGATTCACTTCTTTTGTCTTCTGCTGTCTAGCCTGGAGCAAACAGAACAATTTACTAGGAACTGTTAAGGCCTAGTTCTCTAAAGGCATTGTATAGAGAGTAAAGTGGAAGGAAGAGACTTAATTCCTGTGCTTGTCAGACGGGCCTAATACCTTAGAAAAACACATACATTAAAGAAATGCTAAAGGTACAGTTGGGTGAGGTGGTGCACACCTTTAATCCCAGCACTCAGGAGGCAGAGACCGGTTGGAGGCCAGCCTGGTCTACGAAGTGAGTACTAGGCCAGCCAGGAGAATCCTGTTGAAAAGAGAAACCCTGTCTTAGAAGAACAAAACAAAGCTAAAGGTGTATCCTGTGGAGACAGAGAAGATAAACAAATATTAATTGTTGAAATAATATGTATCCCCTTTGAGAAGGATGTGGAAGAGGACCGTCACACAGATTCCAATAAGGTCTTATCAGGAAACTGTTCGGATAGTGAGGTTGAGCATGCACTTCCATTACCCCTCTCACCAGCAGGGGCATCCTAGACTGTGTGCTCCACACTGAAGCACAAAGCGGTTAGCCACTATACCACCATCTTCCTTCCTGTACCTTCTCTTCTTCAGATACCACTTGAAAGATGTCATTGTAGGGAAGATCTACTTCCTGCTGGTAAGAATCAAGATCAAGCACATGGAGATAGACATCATCAAACGGGAGACAACAGGCACGGGTCCCAATGTGTACCACGAGAACGACACAATAGCAAAGTATGAGATTATGGACGGGGCACCGGTCCGAGGTGAGCCTCCCTGTCCAGGGCCACTGCCACTTTGCTCCCATGCCACGTGCTCAGTCTCAGCCTTGGGGAAGGGCTCAAGGTCTTACTGTGTAGCCCAGGCTGGTGTGGAATGCATGGGAGATCCCAGCACTCCAATGGGAAGGGGAGGGAAAAGCTGAGTGTGTGGAGCTTCAGCTTCCTACTCCGTCTACAGCTCCAGTAGCCCCACACTGACCTTTTACGTGTACTTAGGAGTTCATCTCAGTTGGCCTGCCTGCACACTCCTGTTATCTCACCCCCTTGATATGCGGAGGCAGAAGGATCAGGAGTTCAACCTCATCCTTGACTAGAGAGTTTAAGGCCTACTTAGGCTGCATGAGACCCTCCATGTCAAAACAAAAATTGAAAACTGATTTAAGATATATTTGAATTATTTAATTGCTCTTTCCTCTTGGCATTTGGACATGTTTTGTGGCTGAGGGCAAGAGGTCCATGCATCCTAGTCATTTTCATTGCTTAGTTGTAGCTACAGTAAAGGGATTCACTCCAGAAACTCATTTCTGTGCCATGAGAGTATACTACTAGATCGCTGGCCCATGCTACAAGAGCTTCAGACAACACCAGGAACCACTGGAACCGGTCCTTGAGCACCACAGGGTCCCTAGGATAAGTATGCTTAAAAGCTCGTTCCTGTTTGGGAGTCTGGATGATTCCTGGGAATGAGCAAATAGCAATCATTTACATTTGTTACTGGCTTTGTAGCAACTGAGGATGAAGGTAGTCTCATTTTCCTTTGAATTGCATGGTAGTACATTCCTAATGGGTGTTCCACATGGAAGGAGATGTTACACTGGGCAGTACATAGATAGCATTGGAGACAACAGATTCTTAAGTATTTACTCTATCAGACCCGTGAGAGTTTTGCAACTCAGCTGTCTTAACTCTGATGTTCTATTTTGGCCAGTTGTGCAAGTAGAGCCAACTGTCATTTCTGCTGTACAAATGAAATGGGACACAGAGAAATGGCATAGAAGAGCAGATAATTAAAGGGTCATTTATATTTAGCTTAAGGTTGGCCTTTCTCAGTAGAATTGCTGCCCTCATTTTGTTCCGCTTAGACTGTGATAGGTCCTATAAAATACGTCACTGGAACTTCTGCTTTTCCAAGTGAAAGCTACAGATGTACTCAGAAGTAAACTGGCTACTGGAGAACAGGGTCAGGATGAGTCTTCTGTTTTCTAGGATCCTCTACTGCAGATCCTAGAGTGGAGATGTATTCTGGGGCATAAATTGACTAGTTTCAAGGGAGGGATACCTGTTGGAGAGATAGCTCAGTGGTTAGGAGCATTTATTGGTTTTGTAGAGACCTGAGTGAGTTTGGGTCCTAGCACTCAAATCAGGCAGCTCTGTCAGAACAATTCCAACTTTCTTCTGTCTGCTTCATATACCTGAGCATACATGTACATGCTCACATACAGATGCAAACATACACACCAATAAAAATAAATCTTTAAAAGAAAAATTCTTTTTTTTTTTTCCGAGACAGGGTTTCTCTGTGTAGCTCTGGCTGTCCTGGAACTCAGTCTGTAGACCAGGCTGGCCTCAAACTCAGAAATCTGCCTGCCTCTGCCTCTGCCTCCCAAGTGCTGGGATTAAAGGCGTTTGCCACCACCACCCGGCTAAAAGAAAAAAATTCTTAAAGAAGCCCAATAACTTAACGGATTTATTGGGTTACACCTCTAATTCTAGTACTTGGAAGGCTGAGGCGGGGGAGGGGGGTTGCTGTGAGTTCAAAGCGAGGCAGAACTACATAACGATCATGTTTCAAATAAACAAGGCACATTACACCTTGGTGCCTAATGGTTTCTCTGTGCTATTCAGCCTTTCTCACTGCTTTCTGCAATGGGAGGGTATGTTCAGAAAGCACACATTGGAACGGAGCTTGATAATCATATTTACTTCAGGAAACTACTGGGAAGCAAGGTGTAACATCTCAAAGGGCAGAAGCCATTGCTTCGTGTTCCTTGCCCTGCTCTGATCTGCTGTGGCCGGAATGGGTGTGGCAGGACAGTGCCTCTCATGTCCCTTGCCCTCATCTTTGCCTCATCCCTTACAGGTGAGTCCATCCCCATCAGGCTCTTCCTGGCAGGATATGAGCTCACACCGACTATGCGGGACATAAATAAGAAGTTCTCTGTGCGCTATTACCTCAACTTGGTGCTGATAGATGAGGAGGAACGGCGCTACTTCAAGCAGCAGGTGGGTGCCTCCTCCAGGTCCCCTTGGGCACAACACAGAAAGGCCACAGTTCCCATAGAGGGCCATCTTGATACATAAAGCAAAATGCTAAAAGAAAATAGTCAAGCCTTTATCCTTGTTATTTTACCAAGAGGTAGAAACATGGGCCTGCTTAGTCTCCTACAGCAGGAGTGCAAATTCCCAATTGAAACCTAGGATCTGCTCTCTCAGGCCTAACTCCTGCTCTTGTGGCTCACACCAGGGACATGGGTATTAGCAGCCACTGCTTTGGTGAGAGATGTGTAAAGGAGGTTATTCCTTGAGATTTCCCGGGACCAAGGTGGGAACCCCTGAGAAAAGCATTCCTGAGCCTCTCTTAAGTACCGTATTGCCCCTTCTTCCAACTCTGTAGGAAGTGGTGTTGTGGCGGAAGGGTGACATCGTACGGAAGAGCATGTCCCACCAGGCAGCCATTGCCTCACAGCGCTTCGAGGGCACAACCTCCCTGGGTGAGGTGCGGATCCCTGGCCAACTGTCTGACAACAACAGCAGGCAGTAGGCCCCTGAGGCCAAGAAGCTGCTGGGCTTCCACCACAGAACCCCCATCTACCAAAATACCAGCCACTGGGGGAGGGGGAAGATGGTGTGAGGTTCAACTGGCCGTTACTTGCAACCTTGGAAACAAATCATGTTTTTTACTTAAATTCTTTTCTCTGAAGAACCTAAGGGGCTTGGGTTGGGCAGCAGTCTCCCTGGGATTCTGCAGCCTGGGTAGGGATAAGGAGAGGAAACATTCTGGAAGTGAGTCTCTTCCTTGGGAATGAGCTATGTGTCAAGACTGTCTCAAGCCTTAGAGCAGAGTTGAGAGCACACATCCTTGGCTCCAGGTTCTCTGGGCTTCCTGATACAGAAGCTGTGTGTGTCCTTGGCATTTACCTGCCAGCAGGGCTTTGGGTAGTAATATCTTATACTCCCTTCGACTGTTTTGAGGTAGTGACAAAAGTCTCTGGGTTTTTGGGCCTGTCTCATCTAAGTTAGAAGAAGACTCAAGATTAGGAAGCTACCTCTCTGGGTGTCCAGGACGTGGTGCTCAGAAGTTTCTACAGTCACCTCTGGCCTCTCACTACTGGGACCAGACCATTCTCTTCATCTTCTCTAGCTTGTCAGGAACTACACAGGAGCAGAAGCTTAAGGAAGGGTTGTGTCTGACTGTCCTCTCACTTGTGAGAAACAGGGCCACAAGAAGCCCTGATGTGGTGTCACACATGGATGGCAAGGGGCTGAGGCAGGTCTCCTGTCGGGGAAACATCAGGCAAGGCAACTGTTTGCCTTCACCACATGACTCCACTTGGCAACACAGCATCTGGGTTGTTCTAGGGAATTATTTTAAGTTATCCAACAAGCCCTAAGCCCTAAGCCCTATTTCCTTTAACTGAGATCCCTAGAAGAGGCTGGGATACATTTGCCTCCTAAAGGAACACCAAGCAAAGGCTTCTGCCCTTTGAGACATTACTCCTTGTCCTCTGCTTGATTTCTGGAACTGGGCTTGGTTTTGGGCATGTACAAGTTTTGTTCTTATTCCCACCCAAACACTTTTATCCCACTATCCACAATTAGTTAAAGGAGGAAGGGCCTCTGTGCAGGGCTCTGCTACCATGACTTCAGAATAATTCTGCTTGCCAAATGACATCTGTCTTCACCAGTTCACTGACTCAAGTTAGGCCCACTATTTTGTTTTGTTTTTAATTTAAAAACAAAATAGGAAAACTCTGGTGGATGCTGTTATACTAGAGAAGAGGCAGTTCTTTCTCCTGCTCTGTGCTTGGCCTGCAGGTAGAAAAGGGGTTGACTGTCTTTTCTACCTTGTCTGGAAATGACTAGAATTACCCTCTCCTGTTGGCTGTCCTCCTGTCTGAGAAAGATTAAGCAGACCTTATGTTCAACAAGTACAGTATTCGCTGGTCTGTGTTCTTTGTAATTTGGAAAGTAAAGGATTTGTTCCTGTGTCATCTTTGAGTTTGTGTAGAAAATCGGGAATCTTGCTGGGCAATGGTGGCGCATGCCTTTAATCCCAGCACTTGGGAGGCAGAGGCAGGTGGATTTCTGAGTTCGAGGCCAGCCTGGTCTACAGAGTGAGTTCCAGGACAGCCAGGGCTACACAGAGAAACCTTGTCTTGAAAAAAAAAAAAAAAGAAAAAAAGAAAAGAAAATGGGGGAATTTTGCAATCTCTGGCTTTGACAGGGTGGGGCTGATGGAGAAGAGTTCAGATAAAAGACTTGGAATGATGGGGTAGGAGAGCTAAGGAAAGTAAAGCTGTCTCCATGCCCGACCCCAGGTGTAGGTGTGACATACAATCCCCATGGGCACAGGTCCGCCCATTCAGCTGTCCTTGGCTGTCAGGGCTGGGCCCTAGCATATGAGGGAGGTAGGTTCTTGTGCTCTTATGTTTTTCAGGGTATGACACTAGACTCTGCTGTGCCTCCTTTTAATATCTTATTTAAAAGCATTTGTCAATTTCTCTGCCTCCCAGATGACAACACAAAATCATTTTCCAACTTTGCTAATATCATAAGCCTTTCTTCTGAGAGAAGTAGAAGGTAGAATATGCTGTTTCAGGAGCTGTGCACAAGCCAAGTCTTGCTTTCTCTGACCCCTTTCCCTCTTCTCTGCCAACTGTGACAGTATGGGGAGGCTCCCATCCCCATCCTTTAAGGTTTCTAAACCTGGAGTGCATAGGTACTAAACCAGGCAGTGCAACTTGTAATTAAGAAGCTGCAGTGTTTACATGTTTCTTAATGTGTTGTCTTTTCAATGGCTGTATTTTAAAAGAACATTTGTTTTAATGATGTCTCTAATTAAAAGAAGCTCTATGGCTTTGGAGGCATTGTGCCCATGGTCCACCAGATTCTGTGGTCTTTCCTTCTTAACACTGTCTCATCTCTGACACAGTATGCAGCATGATTTCAACACTGCCTTCTTTTTCACTGGATGGTAAACAGTTGCAAACACTGTATTAAACACTCCTTTTAGGCAAATATGGTCCAGTTCAGGTTTGTCTGGCAACTTGCCTGAAACCCCCTCATGTTTTCCACTTTGGTGGGACAAAGACGACCAAAAGTAGCATAGAAAAATCAAGACGTAGGTTCATTGAACATTCAGAGAACAAAGGACTCAGTCCTACATTTTGCTATTTACTGCATAACTACAGAGGTAGGGGCAGGTGAGAGTAGAGGTGCCTGCATATTCTAGCTGGCTATTGGAACCAGGCTTGGATGTAAGACACCTACAGTGGAGCATCCCTCCATACCCAACACAAGTTTAGAAGAAAACACTTCCAACCTTGTCATTAAATCTTTTATTGGGAAAATTAACAAACCACCCGTGCACCCGTGTTTATGATCCCAGGTATAAACAGCAAGCTTTCTCCTTCTGTCTTATAAAATCTTGGCTTGTTCACGCCATCAGTGGAGCCTTCTGATTAACTTGGTTCTGTTTCCTCCAGGCTCAAAATAAAATCAAACTCTTCTACAAAAAAAAAGGGGGGGGGAGAATATGTGGTTGGGGTGAGACTAAGGTGTTTATCATCTCCTGCATAGGGACGCTGAAGGGCAGTTCCCGCAGCTGTCAGCTGTCCATGAAAACACTGGACTATCTGGTACTGGGTATCTGGTATCTATTCCTCGTGAGTGGCTCAAGTGAGGACACCACTCTCCATGTTTAGGTCTTACCTTGAGTCAGAGGCTGAACTGAAAGTCTCTGTCGGGTGAAGAGAGTCATGCTTTGTAAGGGGCCACCAGTAGCTTTGTGGGTTTGGTGATAGGTTTTAAGCTCATCCAGGGAGATGAAGCGCTTCATCATTCGAACAAACTGTACATCCACCTATTCGATAGCATTGAAGGGAACAGAAACATGTTCAGCCAGACTCAATCCAGTCTTAAAGGGTGGGTCCACTATGTTGCCTAGCCTGTCCTTGAATTCCTGTCCTCGAATCACTTTCAAGCCTCAGCCCACTGAGTGGCTACAACTACAGTCTTGCTTCTGTGTCCACCCAGAGTTTTTGCTATTTGCAGGAAGTATCTGGAATTAGGGCTGCCAATATTCTGTTCTGATATCCCAATTCAGCAAAACTTCATCTAGCTGGTAGCTGGGCGGTGCTCCTTGACCTAACAGTACCACACACTCTTTTCCTCCTTTTGTCCACTCTGCCCTATGAAATAAGAACAGTTATTACCATCGACCATTTAGGGTTGTCCTCTTTGCTGGATGGGTCGTAATGGGGATTACTTCTCTCAAACTGTGTATGGTCTGGGTAAGCCTCCTTTACAATCTGAAAATAAAAAAATCCAAAATCTTCAGTTATTTTAGCTCCCTGCCCAAGTTTTTTTTTTTTTTAATTAAAGAGTTATTTATTTTTACATAAAAACATTTATATACATTGTTGCTATCTTAATAGACACCAGAAGAGGACATCAGATCCCATTACAGATGGTTGTGAACCACCATGTGGTTGCTGGGAATTGAACTCAGTGCTCTTAACTGCTGAACCATCTCACCAGCCCCTGCCCAAGTTTTAATATGCATCTAACTCTGACTTCTCCCCTTCCCCCTTCTCCCCTTCTGACCACTTTCCCTTGCCATAGAGACAGCTGGTACTCTGGAAATAACAGCCTCAGCAAGCAGAGCTAGGAAGGAAATCCTAGATGTACAAGATTTCACAGTCATGTTCTAAAACTAAGTTACTACTGGAAGCGTTTTTATTTTCTCCCAGTTCCACACAGTTTTATCCTGAAAACCTTAGTGAAGAGAAGCTACTTAATGGAAACCTCAGATAGTGAGAAGTAGTAGTCGGGCCTGAAATGAAGGTCTTCCTAGTCTACCCTCTCACACAGGTGATGGTCAGGGCTCGCTGTAACAGGCAGTGTGGGGTCGTTGTTGACTATTTAAGCTGTTGGCCTTTCACAAATAAATCCCTGAAGGGAGGAATCCAGGCTCGAATGTGTGCGTCTAACCTTCATAAGTCCAACAATGCCTGGCTGTTTGCAGTTGCTATGGTAGAAGAAGGCTTCATCCTCCAATTTCATGGCCCTGAGGAAGTTCCGAGCCTGTGTCAAGGAAAAAACAAGGGTTACCCACTTAACGGCTGGGAAGAAAGCAAGTCTGTTTTTATTAGATGTTTATTTCTATTTTGCAGTTTCTCTCCGATTCATAATGAAGTCTGTTCCTTTGTTGAGAGTCCTAGCCTTGTTCTGGGACACTAGCCAGAACCAAGCCACTAGCAGACTACATGCTGTCATAGTGATTATGATATTTCTGAAAACATTTTCAGATAGAGTTCAGGGAAAAGCAGTATTGGCTAAAAGGCCCTGCTACTGCAGATTGTGGTGGAGGCAGGCATGTATCCTAGTGTCATTGGCTTCAGGGTTCCTGCACCTTGTTTCCTTACCTGATAGTTGCGAACACCATCCCAGCAAGCTGTCTGTTTAGGCTGTGCTTTGAGATCCTCAATGCTGAACTAGGCAAAAGAAAATCGAGTGGCTCATTACTAAAAAGTCATTGACCAATCGGTAAGCTTCTAGGAAACAAAAAGTTCTCTCCCTAATCCTGAAAAGTGGTACAGGCTGTAAAGGAGCTAGGTAGGTTACTGGAAATTAGTTCCAGGGAGTCACTGGTGTTGAATGTGTAAGTAGCCTTGGGTTTTGCATTGTGAGCTTTGCTCATTAAGATGATTAGTTGAATGGATAATAAAAGTCTGCTGGTCCCCTGTGTTTTGCTTATTAAAGTACCATAATTCTCTAATATTTCTATTTTCCTCAAGCTAGTGCTAAAAATCAGCTTATGTTCAGTACCTGAATACATGGCCACATTGGTCAGGGAGACATCTAGGAGCACGGCAAGTAGTAAGAAAAATCGACCAACCAAGCAGTGCTGGGGTGGGGTGCACTCCTGTAACTCCCAACTCCAACCTCCTAAACCTGGGGGGCAAGGAGGATCTTAACCCGGCTACTTCAGAAGTTAAGAGGCCAGCTTGGGCTACATAGTTAGATCATCTTAAGAACACATAACAGCAAAATCAAACTAAGATTGGCACTGGAAAACTGAACCAAATGCCTGATTTTATAAATAAAGTTTTACCTTTTAATGTGTTGTGTGTGGCTACTTTCTTGTTACAGGGACAGAGCTGCAACACAGAGTATAAAAACCCATAAACCTCTCTGGCTCTTTGCAGAAAGTCTGTCAACCCTTAGATAGGAATTCCACAAAACACACAGGCTGGGCATGCCTAATATTAATTAAATATAATATAATATAATATAATATAATATAATATAATATAAATAAATATATATATCTATATAAATAAATAAATAAATAAATCTTTTCTCATATATTACATTCTAACTGTAGTTTCCTCCCTTCTCCACATTCACCCCACCTCTACCTCCCCTCAGAAAAGCAGGCTTCCCAGGGACATCAAGCACCCACGGCTTAATAAGCTACATACAATTAAGACCAGGGCATGCCTAATCTTAACATCTGAAATCCAAAATACTCTGGAATGAATATTCTAATATTCAAAAAGTCCTGTATTTTATTAAAGTATTTAGATTGGGGGGCAGTGCTTAGGGATATTCACATTTTAAATCTAGAATACTTCTGGTCCCAAGAATTTTGGATAAGAATTATCCAACCTTAAGTTAATGACAATAATGCCAACTCTCCATTTTTAACCTTTTCCATAGAGAGAAGCAGGTGTCTGAATCCTGTGATAAACCAGATTCACTATTCTTTTAGTAGCAGTTATCTGTGTGTATGATGTGTGGGAGGATGTGTGATCAGAGCACAGCTTTCAGAAGTTGGTCCTCCGTTCACTGGGTTTCAGGTCATCCAGCTTGTACAGTAAGTACTTTAAACAGCCTACCCATCTTACAAGCATGACTGAATATAGGTCTAGCCTCACCTTCATGTCTATACCTTTCTCTAGCCGGCTTTCTGGCTCTGACTTCATCAGCCAGTAGTTGTTTAAATTCTTGCCACCATTTTTAAAGGTTGTAGTCTTCTCAGGGCTGGAGTTCTCTAGCTTAACTGATGTACTCCCTGAGTTTTCAGTTTTAGTACGTTTTCCGGATAATTTCTTTGCTGCAGTAGGAAAGCAAAGGAAAATACTTGTCATCATGCTGGGAAGCAATGTTCCATTGTGAAAACCTTAACTCCTGTTAAACCTGTATAAAACAGTAGCTGCAGCTCCACAGTCCCATAGAGAAGTAACTTCATCTTCTCTGTAAAGACTGGGCAATACCTGCAAATCAGGGGCTCAAAAATGACATCCTCTTGACACAACACAACCATTGGAACCATAAACTCACTTCAACTGCAACTACCTGTACTGGGCCCACACAAGATTGGCCCTATCAACAGTCATTTATGAATGGAGGAGGAGCTCATGGGGCACTGTCTCTACTGCCAAAATTATTGGCTACAGATACTTTCCAGGAGAGGGGGAGCTATTGTCCTGAGTTTTGTAGCCACTGCTGAGCCCACCAGCCTCTAATAGACAGCTCTGAACCCATGGCTTCATAGATGGTTAAACTCAGTAGGTCACAAAGCAAAACAAATAGATGAGAATGTGAGGTTTGAGGGCAAGTGGTGTAGGATATAGGTATAGGAGAGGGTGGGGTAAGAGTGTTCTTAGGGCTAGATAGATATCTCTGCTTAAGATTCCATAAAACTTGGGTTCAGTTCCTAGTACCTACATGGCTCACAAGTATCTATAACTCTAGTCCCATGGGACCCAACACTCCTTGGACTCTGCAGGTACTTCATGAACGTGGTACATAGATATACATGCAGGTAAAACACTCATAAATATAAAACAAAAATAAACATTAAAGCCTTTTAAAAGCTGCTCGGTGGTAGTGGTGCATGCCTTCAACCCCAGCACTTAGGAGGCAGAGGCAGGCATGGATCGTTGAGTTTGAGGCCAGCCTAGTCTACAGAGCAAGTTCTAGGAGAGCCCGAGCTACACAGAAATCCTATCCCAAAAATCCAACCAACCAAAAAATAAGATTTACTTGAAAAAAAAAGGTCTGTTTGGCATTTCTGTACATTTATGAAATTGTAAATTAATAAAAAAGAATATGCTCCTAAAAGATATGTTCTAGATTACTCAGTGAGACAAAAGGACCCTCCTAGAGTTAAGATCATAGGGTAGTGGTAGCACTCAATAAGTGTGTTCCTCCTCAGTTCTGTGCCTTCAATAAGGCTATTCTTTCCAATGAAGAAATGATCCACTACTTGAAATTGTTTCATTGATTATTTCACACTTCTAAAACTTAGGAAATATCTCATCATAAATGTTCAGAAAATATTAGCTGTTATAATCATTATCAAGAGAAATTTTAGAAAAGTCTAATCATTACCATGTAGAGATGGTTTAAAAAAAAACTAGATTTTTTTTTCCTCCAATGGTGGGGACTGAACCTACCTATGCTAGACCAGCAGTCTATCACTAAACTATATTCCTACCCCTTTTTTGTTTTGTTTTTATGTTGAGACACAGTCTCACTAAACTTCCAAAGCTGGCCTTCAGCTCACTCTGTAGTCTAGACAGGCCATAATTTACAATCCTCCACCTCCTGGTTGGCTTGGTTTATAGGTCTTTAGCATCAGGCCTGATTTCTCCACTTGTCAAGTTGTAAAGATTGAACTTGGGGCCTCAAATATGCTAGACAGTGCTCTACCACTGAGTTACAGCTCCACCCCTGAAAACTGGCTTTTATTAAGTGAACAAAAGAAAGTATCCCTGAAACACAGCAATCACTCAGCAAACACACCAGGTCCTAACCTTAATTTGGCTAATCAACAGGATATAGGTTTTCAATCCATCTGAACAATGTGCTACTGATCACAATCCAGTCAGGTAGAACACAGCTATGAATTCAGTCACAACTGTTACTTGAGTCTGTCTGAACCTACACTTAACTCTACTACCTCAGATTTTAGTTTGCAATTATATCAGTCTTCATTAAATATTATGGATGCCTGATGATCCGATTAGCATATCTAAGCACAATTTCCCAGTATGCTTGTCTTAAAAACAAGCATACTTATAAGATTAGTACCTTGTTCAGTGAACATCAGAGAGGCTTCCTTAAGACATCAGATGTGAGTGGATACAGAGATCCACAGCCAAACATGTTGAGAGTCTAAATCAGAGGTCCCCATCGAGTCCCCGCCTCAGAGCAAGGGGAACCCTGAGGAAGAGTGGGGCAACAGATTATAAGAGTCAGGGTGAAGGAAACCAGGAGAACAATGGCCCACTGATTCAACTACATAGGGCTCATATGGATTCAGAGACTGAAGCAGCAAGTACAGGGCCTGCATCTGTCTGCATCAGGTCCTCTGAATATGTTATGGCTATTAGCCCAGGGTTGTTGTGGGACTCCTAACTGTGGGAGCAGGTGTATCTGACTCTTTTGCCTGCTCCTGGCCTGAGACTCTTCCTGTCACACTGCCTTGTCCAGCCTCGGTGTAAGAGATGTTACCCTGTCTGATTCTATCCTCTTGTTATCTCACAGGCCTGCTCTTTTCTGAAGGGAGAATAGAGAGTGGATGGTTCAGGGAGTCGGGGAGCTGTGAGGAGTGGAGGAAGGGGAAACTGTGGTTGAGACATACTGTATGAGAGAAGAATCTATTTTTAATAAAAAAAAAAAAACCATACAAACAAACAATCCAGGCATATATGTATGGTTAAATAACCATAATAATATGTTGAAACCTTGTCAATCCTAAAAGAGGCCCTTTCTGCCTGCCACTGCTTAATTTCTGAATTCATTTTTGTGAATGGAAAAACATGTTTTCTGAGTTCTAGGATTTTGCTGGTGGAAAGCCCTCCCATTCTTTTAAGACTGAGCTCAAATTCTGCTTCCCTCTCAAGGCCTTCTCTGTGATCCCTCCTCTTCCCTGATGTCACAAAGCTGTCTTCAGGACCTTTCACTCATACAGGTTTGCGTTTTGCTTCAGAGAAAGAACTGGATCTTATCTTCATTTTTCTCACCTTATGTTGATTAATTGCCTTTTTCTATTAAATTTTAACTGACACAGAAAACAAAAATTGTATGCATTTTTAATAATAATAGGCACCAACTGCCATACGGTGTTTCCATACATGTGTACATTAATACTCAATTGGTTTGAATAGACTTCCTGAAGTATCTATTTATTTTGATATAGGGTCTCAGAACTCTGTAGCCCAGGCTGGCCTCCAATTTGCAGCCATCCTCTTGCCTTAGCGTCCCAAGCATTAGGCTTATAGGTAGGACCATCACACATTTTTATTTGTTATAGAGCTGTGAGTCTCCTGTTATCGCCCAGGTTGGCCTACGACACATATGATTATCTTGATGACACACATGGGCTGTCATATTTGGCTCTATTGTTCCTACATTTCTGAAATTACAGTGCATTGCCATCAGCAGCAGGAAATACAGCATGTTGCTGCTTCCAACAGCCCGAGTTTAACTCACAACCTGGGATTCTTACACAACACAACAGGATTTCAAAGAGAATGAAGTCAAATTAGAGTTTAAGATTTTAAGATGGGCATGTTGGCTCATGACTGTAATCACAGAACTTTAGGGCCTGAGGCTCTTAGGAGACTTGCTACAAATTCAAGGCCAGATTAGGCTACAGTCTCAAAACAGAAAAGGGGTTTAACAGAAAGTTGAGCTCAAGCACTAAGAGGCCAGACACTGCTGTGTCAGTAGATAAAGGCACCTACTTCCAAGCCAAATGACCTGACTTCCATCCCCTCAGGCACATATGGCAAGAGAGCCCGCTAACCCTCCGCACCAGCACAAGGGCTGTGGCACAAACACATAAAATCTGAAAAAGCACAAGGACCACAGAGAAACCCTTGAGCACACCAGGCTTGTAAGCATAGCTACACTAAGTGTCTTAACAACAACTATGTCTAGGATTTGGATAGCCTCTGAAGTTATAATGCTCAGGAAATTTAAGGGTAAGTAAAAATGTTTTTGGTGATTTAAAAAAACCTATAACCAAAGAGCTTGGGAGAGGGGACAGAGGATCAAGAATTCAGGTCATCCTTTGATACTTAGCAATTCCAAATTGACAGGCAGA